GAGCAGCGGAATTCCGGCTCATCCATTTTTACAAGCAAGCCGTCAGGCGCACATGCAGCCCTCGGGTCAATCCAACCCTCTCTCCCGCCGATGCAGAGCACACTGCTCTCCAACAACAAGCTGGCGCATCCACCCAAGGGCAGGCACAGCCACGAAACCCGGACGTCTCCGGCGCAGAACGCACAACACCACCAAGTAGCTCCCATACCTCACACCGTCCCGAGTCACTTTCTGGTGTGTACACGAATATGACTGTAGGGTCATCACCTCAAGCACTTACAGGCGTGACAAACCCTTACGCCACCTCCCAGGCGCCAACGGCAACAGGGCCGACACAGACAGCACCCCTGGGTACGAACACATCGCTACCTCATCCGCAGATACGGAATGGCCCCCAGCAGAGCCCGCAACACCCAGCGGCTAGCAACGTTTGCGCTCCACAACCGCCGTCGGTGCAGTCGTTTTGGCAACAACAACAACTAAATCAGCCACTAAATCAGCAACAATATTTGCAGAACTTACAAATCAACACGTCTAATCTCGCACACGTCAACCTCCAGTCCATGGTGCAGTCGCCAGTTGGCACCACGCCGTCTTCCCGCCCATCCCAGCCCACACCGAGTCCTGGGCCGCAGCAGATACCGCCCAGCCCTTGGGCGCAACAACAATTACAGACCGTAATCCCTCCAACGGTTTTTGCCCCCAACGTAGCGCATCCCGGGCCAGCTTCCATGGTTCGGCCTCCGACGTTTCAGGTCCAGCGGGGCGCGCACCAACGACAGCGACTCGTGGCGGCGAGCGATCGCCTGTTGCCGCCCAAGGGCACGTCGATTGGGCGGACGGAATGGCCGCACGAACCGGCGGATCGGAAATCGGTCATGATGTCGCTGCACCAAGCCCATGTCCGCAGTCCGAAGCGGGTCATCAAGGACGGAGAGACGGAACGCTTCTATCAGTCTGTAAAATCACTCGCAGTTGCGCCAACTCCCGTGGCTCCTAAGAAGACCATGTACGAGTTCCGGTTCGATGTCAGCGAGGAGCAATTTACCCTAGTAGCGGCCAAGTCGAAGGACCCCGCAGCCCTTCTCCCGGTAGTTGAGCATATTAACGGCACGCTCCGGTGGCGGATCCGGTGCTGTGCGGTTCAAGGCTCGAGGGCCGCCGTTAGTGAAGAGGAGTGGGTGGGATTGGAGATGGACTGGCCAACGTACATTCACATGACGCTGAACCAGAACCCGCTCGACGTCCGTAGGCAACGGCACAACGGGAAAGACCAGCCTACAGAGATCACTGACTATATCGTCTGCGGTACCAACTTGCTCTTAGTTTCCATACATGGTCAACACGGGGAGCACTCCAGAAACCGCCACTTAGCAGTGGAGATCCTCGAGACGCTCAGCCATTCCAACGTAGTCAAGACGGTCTGGTCGCGGGGCGTAACGGGCGAAGAAAAGACGCTAGGGACGATCAAGAAGCGGTTGACGTCCTCGCTTGACGACGAAGTCTCCTTCGAGGCGCCTGATCTGTCGATTGATCTTGCCGACCCCTTCAGCTCGACCATCTTCAAGATCCCCGCGCGCGGAGTCCTGTGTACGCACATGGAGTGCTTCGACCTCGAGAACTGGCTGAACACGCGGCCGTCGAAAACGTCAATTAAGTGCTCGCATCGACAGGTGGTGTGCGATTGCCGGGACCCGGCCGAACCGTCCAATCCCGACAAGTGGCGCTGCCCGATCTGTTCTAAGGATGCACGGCCGTACAGTCTGCAGATCGACGGGTTCTTGCTCAAGGTCAGGAAGCAGCTGGAGGAAGAAGGCAAGCTGCACACCAAGTGCCTGCGTGTGAAGGCGGACGGGAGCTGGTCCGTTGTGCTCGAGGCGGACGATGATGGGGAGAGTGACGAGGAAGAGCGGCGCGGGCCGCAGCCTACAGTTGCCGCCAAAGGCAAGGCAGTGCAGCCCCCCGCGGCCGCGAGGCGAGAGGTGGAGGTTATCGAGATTGACTAAAGGGTTCATCTCGGCGTGCTTCCGCCGGGGCATTCGCCACCTACCTAAATCGCCACATGTCAGCCATAGCTCTCTCCCGTTGCATATTGCTACACGGCTTTACATTATACTTATCGCCAGACCGGGAAGACACGCCAAGCCCCTTGGGTTTCCTCAGCACTATCATTCCTCATAAAAGAGGCGACTCCGTTGGATCACGGCCTGCACGGCATGACTCGTTACGGCACATTATGATCTCCCTTGATTTATTTTTCCTTTCTCGGATTTGCATCGCATTACGGCTGGAGTTACACAGTTTTAACAGGGCGGTACTGGGGCAAAACATGGGGTTTGGTGTTTGTTTTGGGTTGTGGCGGCGGTCAACACCGGCAGGAGAGCCGAGGGGCTTCAGTGATTTATGTTTTTGTTAGCGTTTGTTTAGAAAAGAGCGTTAGTTTTTCGTCTTGGGTCAAATTGAGGGCGGAGGGGAGTTGGGATGGGGGACTAGGCCAGCTATATGTATAGCCAGTCGATGAATCAAGACAAACAAACCCCTTTTCACACGAGCGGTCTGTCTGTCTTACTCCACGCACTCACGTTCAGCTTCCCCCCTTCATTCAACCCACGCCCCCCAGCACCACACCACCAGCACCACCAGCACAAAGGCTCGCACTCCCCGGCGGTCCCAGCTCACTTGCCCTCACCCCCACCCCCACCCCCCCAAAAAATCCAACACCACCTTCGTCAACACCATCGTCGGGTTCAACAACCCCATCCCCAGCTCATGCACCCTCGGCAATAGCCCCACCCCGCCCAGGTCTGTTACCGTGATTTATTGTTATTGTTTCCTACGCCGTTATACCCTACAGGGGGCGTGCCGGTCCTACTACTAGCTAGCCTATATAGGAAAACCGTGCTAGGGAGCCCTAGCCGGATGAAAAACCTATATACCGTTCTTCCAGGCCATCGGGTTCGGAGACTTCGTCGCTCTACAGGTTAAAGGAGCCTACTCAGCCCCCTGCATACCTCCCTCCTGGCCTTGGCCGGCCAGCGCTGTATTAACCCGCATCGCAAAGGTTAGCTTTCCCTGCCTCGGGTCTCTTCTTGCCCCCTCCTGGGCTATAGCGAAGCCGGGGGGTCGACCCCGGAGCCGCTTCCTTTTTCCTGCTTCTTGGAAGCCATCGTCGGCTTCCTCCATTGGGTCTTGGACCCCCTGGAAGGTAATATTCCGCATCTGTTGTAGTGGCTGTTGTCGTTGTTGTTTGTTCTGAAGGGCCAGCTCAAAGGTCCTCGGCCGGAAAAAGTATGCCTCCCTTGCCGCACCCCGGGCTTTAACTGCTTCCGGGCACCACCGTACCCAGGCCGGGTGCCTCCCTCCACAGGCCGTACACCTAAGTGGGATCCTATTTTCCAGGGTAGGGCATTGGGCCTCCCCTGCCCTCCCGCCCCCCCCGTGTACCCCTGCCGCACACCGCGGGCAGGTAGCCTTTCCCTTGCAAAACCGTTGGGTATGCCCCCATCCCCAGCACTTATAACACTGCGTCGCCTGCAGTGCTCCCCAGTATGGCTCGCAGTCGAATAGCTGAGCCTGCCAGAGGACCCCTTCCTCACACGCCTTCTTTGCCTCCTCCTGGCTAGCCAGGCTAATTAGGGCTGTAGCCCTTGTAATACCTTCCCTTGTTGGGATCCGGAACCGAACTCTTTCAACTGTCGACAGTCCAGTCGACCTGCCGAACTCCTCCTCCGTTACCCCCTTCAAGTCTCTCTTCAATATCCCCTTTGCTAGGACTGTAAAGGTCCTCTTCCTCTCCTCTGCAGCCTGCCCGAAGGCCTTTGTTATCCACCCTCTATTCCCCTACCGTGATTTACGTATTGCTCGTAACCGCTATCTCCCAGCCGGGGTGGTGGTATTGCCGCTGCTGCGAGAGGGGGAGGAGGGGTGGGTGGGTATTAGTGTTGGTGTTGGAGGGGTGGCGGATGCTAACAAAGTGCGCGGCTTTGATGGAGACTACGCCGTTGCTTTTGGTGTGGCCTTCACAAAGTCGGCGGGGGGTGGAGGGGTGTTGTGGTGGGGGATGGATGATGACGGCTGTGTTGGTGCTGCTTCCCGGGATGATGCTCAGTTCTACAGCGGACTGGCCTGGCCTGGCCTGCGGGTGCCGAGGCTCAATAGATGCTGACTACGCTACGGAGCGCAGCTGGGAGGGGCCCCTCTTGTCGGTGAGGGTGTGCGCGGCGTTGGTGACGCTGGCGATGGTGGTGTTGGTCTTGATGGTGTACTGCAGCCGCCCCTTGGCTCGGGGGAAGGCGTTTACCCAGCGCTTGTCGGCCGGCGGTATGAACGGCGTCATGGGCTGCGTGGTAATCTTGCCGGCCCGCACCGAGTGCAGCACCATCTCCCAGGAGGCCGTCTTGGTCGTGTCGTCGGGCAGGCCGTTCGTGCGTCTTTGTGGAGACAACTAGCAGTCTCTAGCCACTCCTGCAGGTTGGCCTCGGCCTCGCCGTACTCGGCCGTGCTGAACCCGAACTGCGTGCTGAGGTCATTGTGCTGGCTCCGCGCGCACAGCTTGCCGTACGTCGTCATAATCTGCGCCGTCGCCTCGGCGATTTCAGGGGTGAACTGCCGCGCGGCGAGATAGGTTCACAGGCCCTCAGGGGTGCTGAACTTGGACATGTCGTACCCCATAGCCATGAAGTGGTCGAGTGGCAGCTCCTGCAACCGCCTGTTAGTGGCTAACGCCCCTTCGGAAAGTCGACCAAAGTCTGCCGCTAGATCGCCGATGGCACGGGCGACAGGGCCGAGATCTTCGGCGGGGAGTATTATAGAGGGCGGTATAGAGGAGCTGGCGAGCAGCAACCCATCCCTGCCGTTCGTTTCGTTGGCGGGTGGATTGGTACCGGCCTGGTGATAACTAGAGCGGCGAGATGACTGCGCATCTCCTTGAGCGCTCCGGCCATGTGCCGTTCTATAGAAGACTCAGAAGGGCTGTGTATATGGTGAGCCCGACGGAAGATGGCCCTTAGCTGCTCATATGCCAGAACGAGAAGGGGGGTTCTAATCCGAGGTGTCAGATTTGTTACGTTATCTGAGACAGCACGAGGACGACAAACCTCGTAATCCCAGCTGCCAGTTCAGCTCATGTAGAGAGAAAGCTTGTCGAGTACGTCGAGCTTACTGGAGGCAAAATCCAAGCAGCCGTCGCCCTAAACGGGCAATATCCAAGTGGCAGAAGCGCTCAGGTCGCCCTGCGTGCGGTAGATGGCGCTATCACTGGCACGTGGGTTCAATATTTCGAGACGGTGTACGATGAGGACTTCGCGACGCAACCTGACGGCTAATTTGGCCTCTCTGGGTTGGGGACATCTCCGACTTTCTTGGTCCCGCCGGTCTCCCAACCAATTTTTGCCGCCCTTCTGCTGCCGAGTTTGCTAGCGGAGTCTAGCGATCCCTAGGTTACCCTGACCTATGAACGACTTCGAAGCACCGAGGGGCGATGATACGCGAGGGGTAAGAGACCTGGGCCGATAAAATCGGGAGTTTTGCTAGCCGGGCTATGTCAGTTGACTGCCCGGGCTGTGTCCCACTTTTCTGGCCAATGAGACCACGTACAACCAGAACCGGATGTACAGTTTGCAACAATTAACTTTCAATTTTGGGGTTTATTGCGGCAGTCGAGAGATCTCAACGAGCCCTTTTGAAAGCAGTCCTTTTCGCGAGTTCAATTCCTATCTGAAGTACAGTTTCCGATTGGCCCAGCTTAAAGATTCGTCGGCGCCGTTGATGACGGAGTAATCGCGACCTTAGGACGCTCGGCGTAGATTTCGGCCCGAATCGATTCGATAGTGTGACGAACCTACTTCAGGACCCTGTCCTGTTAGGGTTCTGTTTCGGTTGAAGGTAATCTCTCAAGGGTGCTTAGATTCGGTGCAGCCAAAGGGTGCACAACAAAGACTTGTCTCAACAGTAGGCTGTCGAGCTTGTAGCGAACTGTAGTTGTGATTGCTAACTGGAGAACTCCCAGAGCTCTCCAGAACGAGTGACTATATACCTATCTAAGTCCTGTGTGCTCAGTGTGCTCAGTTGTACCCTCCAACTGAGCTCACTGAGCTCTTTCTCCCATTCCTGGGTCATGATTGGCTGGCTCCTACAAAGGTGCTCAGTGTGCTCAGTTGTACCCTCCTACTGAGCTCACTGAGCCACTCATGTAGGTTCCCTGATTGGTTTGTTTAGCGACTGGCCTGTGGTTCCGCCCGTCGGCATATCCGTGACAGATAGACTCAAGGAGAAAGTCGTAGCCGTCGCAGCGTTCAGTTGACACGAGACCGAAGGCACAGTTATATAAGGAGCCAATATCTGTTGTGCCAGTAACCTGGAAGAGCGGCATCTTGAAGCGGTTGGTCTTGTAGGTGTTGTCTAAGCCGATGACCTCTGGAAATCTCTTCCACATACTTTCACACCACGGGTAAGTCCAAACGAAGGCAACAGGGCGGGTAGGGTCCTCTTCGGCCCACTGGATGCGATGCTTGTAGCCCATGTCGATAAGGATGCTGATGAGCTGTTGGACAGCGGTCCTACCGTTAAGCGCAGTGAGGCGTAGGCGCTGGCGGGCGTTGTCGATGTCTTTTTGCTTGACGAGAGACCCAGGCACAGCATCTCTAACGTGGAAGCTACCTCACGTGATCCGATGGCCTTATGCTTTGAGATGGTTTGGAGGAGGTTCGTCTGGGTGGACGCCAACTTCCAGTGAAGCTTGTGTACAGATGGATCGAGAGAGGGTGAGCGGTTATGGGAAGGGTGTTTGAGCCGAAAGGTCCAGCGCCAGTCATCAGCAAGACGGGCAGAGGCAACGCCATACTAAGGACAATCGTTCTTTGAGGTGCCTGTCTTGCGGTTGCCGAAACCTTGAGCCTTGCGAATAGCGTCACGGTCGCAGCAGATCATGTAGCGTGTGGGCTTCTTTGGGTCTCCTCGACAGTTTGCCTCCGTTGCGTCGGATGACAGCAAAACCATGCCTCCCGGCGTGGGCCTGGAGATGAGCCTGAAGATCGTCAATCGTCGCGGCGGGCTGACCATTAATTCCTCCGCCTGGCGGGTTCGGTATGTCGTACGTTGGCTGCGGCGCCACAGCAGGATCAATCGGCGAATCCATCGCGGCGAATTTCGGCGGCGGCGACGTGGTGGTGAAGTTAGAAGAAATCGGCGAAGTCGGCAATAGATGGATGGATGGATGGAATTTATTTCGCCCGGAGGCACTGGGCCTATAGGGCCTTAGCACGCTAACTACATTACATCCGGATCAAATCGTTTTGCCTTTAACTCGTACAAGCCCCCTACTTCTTCCCTCTTTCTCGCTGCACCATTTACCTCTTGCCTTGGTTGTTGTTAGCAGATCAGCTTGGAGGCTACTTTTTCCAAGTGTTTAGCGTCCTATCTTCAGCAGCTAAAGCGGGACCTGCTGGTTAAGGCTCGTGGTTGAGGCTCGTGGTGTTGAGTGTCGGCTTCTTCTACTGTGACTGGTCTAGACTCTCCTCCTCCTTCAGCTCCAGCCTTCCTGTTGCCATTGCGTATTTGATCATCGCCCGGACTGCCTTCATATCTGGTGACCAATGCCTTGTATCCGATGGCGCTTTCCCTCCCAGATAGAACGAGAGGCTTCCTCGTCTTGCCACTGTTGGTTGGGGAAGAGTGGTGTTGGCGGAGCTGCCTGCGGTCGACCCGCATTTCTTTTGCCCTCACCGAGAACATGGCACATAAATTGTACTGCCCGCCTCCCGGAAATGACGATACGGCGAAATTATGTTGGAGAAACAGTCGATGAGCGATTGAAGATAGTAAGCACCGATTGTGCAAATTTCCAGTACGCAGTGATGAGCCATTCCCGGGCTCTGAAATTCCGGGTATCATGCGTGAAATCCGAGACATCGAGAAACTGGCCTGCACAGGTGACAAGAAGTTGGTTAAACTCGGGTTTGATATGCTCTGACTTCAACCAGCCCGACATCAGCATCAGGGAGATGACGACGAGCCGGCCATACTCCTTCATTCGAAAAGAGTTGCGATGCGTCTTGGGGTTCTGGATCCTCGGCCACCCGGGGGGGGAATGGGAAAGTCTGCAGGACAAACGCCATCTCCTTCCGATACCTCTCGTGCAAGAAGCCCTCGTCCTCGAAAAGGAAATCAGTCAGTACTCGGGCTAAACCAGCAAATTCGGAATGAGCAGCATCCACTGGCCGTGTTCGTATGAGATACAGAGCTGGAAATAACAGGAGTAGGTTGTTGATGAGTTTGAAGTCGCTATGAATACCGAGCTTAGTCTCAGCTGGGGCTTTTGCTGTCTCGGTTGCGAGGGACTGAATATATGCAATGTCATCGATGTGCTACCAGCGATACCGACCATTTTTTACTGTGTCAAACCCTAGATCCGATCTCTCGTCAATCCTGACCTGACAGTTGCGACATGGGAGAGCTGCTTGGTGGGATTTGCAGCCAGACAACTTCTGCTGCGAAAGCATATCGCCAGTGATGTATGCGACAAAGCTGCACACAAATGTCTGTTTTCCGTTTATCTCCATCCATTTACCCTTGTCAAGATCCGAGAGGTGGATGAGGGCCTGGAAGACGTCGGCTATCTTGGCACCAAACGGACGCAAGGTCAGAGGAAACATTCCCTCGCGGCGATTCCTCAACCATTCCTCGAAGAACAACGCGGTGATATAAATCCCAATGATCGAGACGTAGTTGTTATTGTAAAGGCCAAATCCATCACAGAACAGGTTCCATGGGAGCGAGACCCGGTCAGGGCCAACGAAGTTGTCGACGAAATACTGCCTCCCCCAGCTCCCAAGCTCTAGCTCTGCTCTGTGCGGTGAAGATAACCGTAGAGGCCGGAGTTTCATGGTTTTCCAGTTGAAGATATATCGCACGATGAACGTCGAGTCCGCTGTTAAATGGTCAGGGGGTGGTGAAGTGGTGCATGTGGGGTCGAATGTATAGTCGAGGTGGACTTCCGGCAGGTGGCGAACAATCTGATCGGGGGAGAGAGAAATCCCGAAATCCTCGGTCAGAACCAATTTGTTGGAAGGCAGACCAGGAGGTCTGAGCACAGGAGGGTCAATGGGTCAAGGCCCAGAACGTGGTGGCAAGAGATCGGTCGGCTTAAGCCAGGTGCGGTTGCATGCGGTGCCACCATCGCTGCTCAGAGAGAGATATCAAGCAAGGGTTTGGAACCCCCCTTACAGAAGGAAGAGGGGGACAAGGACAATTTGATTTTGGCAGAGTCTCATAGCCTCCTAGGTTCAGCCGTGTGAATTCCCATCTTCCTGTGTGTGTGACACCTTGGATCAGAGGCTGTTGGTCTTCCAACACAATTCAGTTGGCCCAGGTGAAGCAGCACTGGTCGACACAGACGAGAAGGCCGCATGCATCTCGGGCGGCATGTCCGACCTGGGATACACCCACTGTGTTAGAAGTAATTACCGGCTTGGCAGGCGGTCCGCTTCTGGGGTCCAGACCACAATAGCGGACCCGGCCGAGATGGAGGTCGTACAGTTGGCTACTTCTGTTGGATTCGCCACATGGAACCTTCTTGCGGATACCAGTGTTGGAAGTTGTAGCAAATTGAAACACCGAAGCCTGGTTGCCGATGCAATAGTATTAGAGAGGTTCTAGGGTCTGAACAAGAAATATAAAAAGGAGGTTAGGGCGATGCCCGCCACTGAGAGGAACAATCAATCAATTCTTCTCCCCATCCTTCGACCTGAGTGTCGTTTTTAACAACTTCCGCATTGACAACCCGCGACACTTTGGCTGCAACGTAATCTGACGAAGTCGGATGGGAAGATAGGATTTCCGTCCGGGTACTGGAAGAATTTCCCACTTGTAGTCCGGATACTCTCCCCCCACCACCTAGCCTGCCACGGATCAGTGATGGGCCCATCAGTGACTTGTGCCATGCCAGTGTAAATCTTCTGCGCAATCCTTCCTGAGCTGAGAAGTGACCGGACCATGTCCCCCATGTCAAGAACCAGCATCGATTTGTCGTACGACACCCGACTGGGGAGCACGCTTTGGTCCTGAAGTGTCGCCTTCCATAATGTACCGCGTGGTAGGACACGATGTAGTTGGTGTACCACCGTATCCTTCCGCTGTGGGATTTTTTCGCAATTCGTCAATGTGCTGGACAAGTTGGAGAACTTCGCGTAGGTGCGAGTGGGCTGCTCGGGATATGTTGTGTTTCTTCTCCCATAGAGCAAAAGCTAGTTCGAAAGGGGAGAGATTAAACGGCGCGGCCTGATCTTCGATGGTCGATGTTGTGTCCTCGAGTTCCAAACCTGCCAAGTGAGGAATTGAGCTTGTGGCCCGGGCTGACCTCCCGTCTGTCAAACCTCCTCTTGTCTGCTCCTCGACGTGACCCTGTTCTTCCCCAGGGTCCACGAACCCATTATCCTCTGCTGTCCTATCCTGATCAGATCGTCGCGCCTGTGCCAGCAAATCAGAAAGCAACTCTGATGGTTGCTGCTCCTCCTCATTCGCGTCCATGTTCTGTGCCTCTGGCTCCCTCATATCCGCTCCTGATGCGTTGACCTGCTGCCTTATCTTTCTCATTGTGTCGAGAGTGTTGCGCTGGCCAGCCAAGTTTTCACAGACTTGGTGGGTCGGAGCGACGCTTGCGCCTTGGACTTCGATCGGGGTATTAGGAGGACAGTCCACATCTTCCCCGCCGAATGGATCCGCGTCTAACCACTGGCCGATCCGAATCCGGTGTGCGGTATCGCGGAAGGACTGAAGCTCCGGCGGTTGTGCAGGCAGCGGGTCGAGGATCGATTTGGCCTCGCCAAGCCGCACACGTTTCTGTGCTCTGAAAAAGTCGTTTGGGTCTTGATTTGGCCTTTTCGGTACGTTCAGGCTGACCGTGTCGGGGTCGATAGTAAAACCGGTGAACCACATCGTAGAATCCTTGTTCTCTCATCCTAGACGTGTGCTGCTCGTCCGCCTTAGAGCTGCCAACGCTCGCGGCTAGGCGGTTTGTGGGCGGGTCCGATGCGGTCAACAGCCGCTTTGAGGCTCGAACTTGGAAACCAACATGAGGTCCCTCATCGCTCCTGCCTCAACTCAGCACCACAAGGGCACTTTAGCGGGACAGAATGGTTTTAGTTGCGATAGTTATGGAATTGTCCATCCTTCTTTTTTTCTCTTGTCATGATCTACCATCGTAACCCGCAAAACGTTTGGGATTGTCAAACAGCCAAGTTACCATTTGCACTGCGTCAATATGGCGACAGCAGCCGCCTTCCAAACGCTCGAGCAAGAATCGGAGCCTGCCATCACGGAGACCCAAGAAACACGATCGCCACAAGTCAAGGACACCGCTCAGCCACAACAAGTGCAGGAGCCGTTCGGTAGGCAGGACTCCTGCAGCTAAAATTGCTAGTTATACCTAAATGCCGGAACTAAATCTTTGAACGATGCAGATATGATTGACAAGCATGGCAATACCGTTCTAACTGTACCTGCGAGCCAGGTGTCGGACCAGACTGCACTTCAGGTCGTCGCAGTAAGTCGATCACTGATTGTCGTCACCAGTGCCTTATCTGACTCCTACCCCCCCGCCCTCTCCGGCTCAGGATGTCACAAGACGAGCGAACGATACTACTGCCAACCTGACACAGGAGGGCCAGAACACCCTGGACAGGCCGGGCAACACCGATAACGATAGTCACTCCCAAAAGTGCAAATACAACAAGATCCTGACAACCGATGCCAATCAGGCCATCCGAGATCGTCTGAAGGCATGCGAGTACCAGGCCCGCGTCGGATATCTCTTGTCATTGCGGATCTCTAGCGAGCAGGAGTTGGTCGACTTCAATTTCAGCGGCATAACGGGGTCCCAGGCCGAGTTCATCAAAGATTATTGCAGAGGTCGCATTGTTGGGAACGGTAGTACCTGGCAACACCGTGCACTGGACAGGATCATTGTAAGCCACCCCTCCGTCGGTAGCGATGTCCATCTGCCAACCAACGTCAGGAATTTATCAAGGACTACATGGATGAGCATCCGTTATTTGCCCAGTACAAGGACATGAAGCTTATCCATTCTGAAATGAAGCGGGTCTACGACCCTCAGTTGTTTGTAGAGCTGTTCGACTTCTGCAAGGGTCATCTCGACATTGCGGGAAGTGGCCCCAATGTCCAGAAGTGGTGTCGCGGTGAGTACCATCGCCGAACTGTGAGCTCCCCTCTCCCCTGATTAACTAACATCCATAATATTTAGCATTGTTTGTGGAGATCACGAGCTCCGCAAAAAGGCATGTGGACTGGCTTATGATGGGACCATCTCGCCCAACCGAGGCTACTTCCGACGGCCGCCCGGTCAATGATAGGGAATGGTTCATCAACAGATGGAAGAATGTCGCCACCGTCAGGAGTTGGGACAGCATCCGGTGTGACCCCACGGAAATCAAGCGGGTGCCCAAGTCTCAGAAAAAGAATTACGTTCGCAAAGCAAAAAGGCAGTTCCTGAGTGTCGACAACGATCCCGACACCTACATCCCATCCGACGCCGAGTGACGCGCCCTCGTTGTGACCCAGCATTCTTGCCATTTTCTACCATTCAAGCAGATCAACGCCATGTTTGCCGTAAGCCGACGGACCCCTTACCATGGCACTTAGACTATGGCTAATGCGGACGAGGACAAATGCCACCACAGCTGCTAGATATCGAAATACCGAGGACATCCACCTGATCGATGTGGACAAACTGATGTACTACAATAGCTAGACTACGAAATGCTGTACATTAGCACATGTCTCACACGAGGCACACTACATTGGCGTGGCACTCTACCGGAGTCAACAGGGCACCAGAGTCGCCAACGAGTTTACACTCACACTTTACCCCCCCACCCAGGGACTGAGTTGACAGGAACATAGACGGGTGGGGTGGATGGTCAATTTTACACTTTTTACAAGTGCATGCCACTGAGATAGCTGATGTTCGCAGAGCCAAGGTGACTTTTGACACATCACCGACATGACAGCTCACACTGATGGTGTCAAACACACTCAGTTCAAATTCACAAACGCACTTCCAACTCACAGACTGACTGCTGCTGGGCAGATATGGCTAACGGCGAAGAGTATGTCGGATAACTACCTGGTACATCGAATTGCCAACACATCCTCTAGATATGTCAATAGATGCACCATTGAGTCGTGCTGTCCGGTGCCAACCACCCGCTGCTCTGTGACGAACCTACTTCAGGACCCTGTCCTGTTAGGGTTCAGCTTCGGTTGAAGGTAATCTCTCAAGGGTGCACAACAAAGACTTGTCTCAACAGTAGGCTGTCGAGCTTGTAGCAAACTGTAGTTGTGATTGCTAACTGGAGAACTCCCAGAGCTCTCCAGAACGAGTGACTATATACCTATCTAAGTCCTGTGTGCTCAGTGTGCTCAGTTGTACCCTCCAATGAGCTCACTGAGCTACTCATGTGGGTTCCCTGATTGGTTTGTTTAGCGACTGGCCTGTGGTTCCGCCCATCGGCACATCCGTGACATGCTCTAATTAAATCTCGCATACACTTGGCCACTTGACACAAAAGCCTCTTCCGACGAAGTCCATCCAGCACAACCAAGATGCACTAGTTATAGACACAGTATCATTGACAAAAAAATCTCCAAACCAAAAATGTTCTCCTGGTTTAGACAGTATCACCAACCAGACACATATTAGTCACAAGCTCCTGTCGACTTTGGAAAGTGATTTCTGTGATTGAAAATGGTCTTGGCGTGAAAATTGGCTCGTGATGAACATGGACTTGCGGCTGAGTCATCCACTGGGGCGCAGACACCGTGGCTGGGATGGACATGCTTTGTCAGCACCCCGATATCTTCAAGTGGACACTGCGCCCTGCATGCTTTTGCCGAGGACGGTGTGTTAGGCCTGAATAGGGCATACGGCATTTCACAGTTTCTGTCCCACGACTGTCGCTGGAACCGTTTTGGCCCCACCAACAGAGTCTTAACGACTGGGGACCATGTTATCTCGGAAATCCCAGACCTCCTTTCTGGGGCGTTCTTCCTTTTTCCAGCCTGCGGCTGGAAATGACCCGCGCCAAGGCGCGTAAGACGTATTGCCATACAAATTTCAGTGCAAGTGTGTCGCGCTAGTCCTATCTAGAATATTACCCACTTTTAACGAAGAACGCCTTTGAAAGAGGTCTGGGTCCATAATTTGAGTTGAGTGTTCCTATTTGAACAGTAGTTTTCTTCTATTTGGACAGTAAAGGTCCACATTAATAGCTAGATTTACCCCCCAAAATCGCAATTGCCACACCCACACACCAAAATACACTGTAAGACACTGGGAAAGGATATCTTCATACAAAATCACACGCTATAAGGTCTATCGACTATCAATCGGTGCCAATTCTTCAAAAAACGCATTTCCGGCCCTTCTAATTCAACGTCAACACTTCTCACGGGCCGGCTAGTCCATCCGGCTCGTCAGCGCCGGGTTGGGTGGCCGGGATGACCTCAATCACGTCCTCAGCCTCAGACTCGGTCTCGGGGTCGGTCTCGGGGTCGGTCTCGGGGTCGGTCTCAAAGGCGGCTGCAGCTATCGCGGCCAGCCTCGCCGTAGAAGAGGCTATCGCTGACCTCCTCGATCGTCCTCTTGCAGTTCTCGTAGACTGCGAATTTACGCGTGACTGCGAACTCCTTGTCGACGGCGACGAAGCTGCCCGGGTGCGGCCGCGACCGCGGCTCCGGGACGACCTTTGTGATGACCTTTGCGAGCCTTCAACCTCAAATTGTGATAGATCGCGACGCGCGCTTGGCTTCGCACGGCGCTCACGGCGATGTGACTGCGAAGTCTGCTTTGGCTGCCGTCGCCGCTGCTGCTGCGTTGACTGCGCCGTCTCCTGCTGCTGGGCTTCATCTTGGCCGTCGTCAGCCCTCAGGGATGACGGCACCGTCATCTTCTCGTTATTTGGCAGGCGAGGCCGGCCACGGAGGCTTTGGACCACGTCAGGATCGCGGAGTCGGAGTAAGGGCTCGTCAATGTCCTGGGACGAAGCAGTTAGTAGCTTTTCCATAGAAAATCATAGGAAATCGTACCAGAGGCTTGGCCCAGCCACCATCGCGGGTGGACATCTTCCTTGCTGAGGGCCTCGCCGTCGTCCAGCTTCTTGAAAGATCATGTGGCTGCAAGGAAGCGCGTACTGCTGCATGAAGCTGCCCGGTGCAAGGCCTCAGCGGCTCAGGCATCAGGCCACGGCTTGAGGGCATCGCGGCCACGGCTAGCCGGTGCTGTTGGGCAAGGAGATCGACGGCGACGTAGGAGACTGTCATGGGGATGTTCCCTAGCCACCCTTGCTGCTGGATGAAGCGTTGGCGCTGCCGCATTTGCATCGCCGCGGCCTTCTCGTTGTAGTCTCTCTCCTTTTTCTGCAGCATCAGGGAGATCGCGTTGTGGAGGTGGAGGAGGTCGCTTGTGCCCGTGATGAGGAAGGACTTCACGTCCTTGTGTGCCGTTTCCACAGGACTATTAACTCGTTGACCGAAGTTGCGGTATCGCTTGATAAAGCAGCGCGCCCACTGCTCGCGGTACGGCATGTATTCCTTCGAGATATAGCGTAGGATGTGGTTCTGCGTTGGATTGTATATAGCCTTCATCTTGTTCCATGCTGACTGGAAATCAGCCTCGTCTTCGGCGTACACGACTTGTTGCCACGCACGGAACATTCCATCGCGAGTCAAAGGGTCGGCGGCAGGCAGCAAGGCCGCACAGCCATGCTCGGCGACCTCTTGTTCAGCAGCGCGGGCGACGAGGTCGCCATCGCCGTCAGCGACCTCGGCCTCATTGTCGCCAGCCTCGTCAACCTCGTCGTCGCTTCTGCCGTCTTCGGCCTTCCATCTTGACCGGATTCTTGCCCTCACCTTCGCGTTGATGTGATAGACACACAGCTGTTGCTGCGCACCCGGGAAGGTCGCCGTGAGGGCATTTTTGAGGGCTGTCTCCTTGTCTGTGATTACCACGGTCGGTGCTGGCACATGAAGGTCTTGACGAAGGTCCTCAAGCTGTTGACAAAGCCATAGGAAGCCGTCTTCCTTCTCTGTGTTGATGAGGCCAAACGCGAAGTTGGCTACCGACTTCTGGTCCGTGATGCCTATGACCTCGAAAAGATACATGTGAAAACGGTTCGTTTTGTACGTGTTGTCAAGTCCTAGGACTTCAGGAAACTGGCGCCACATCTTCTCTGGACCAAGGGTAAGTCCACAGGACGCCCTCGACCTTGTTGTCATCGTCAATCTTTGATCCAGTGACGAAAGGTTGTTATCTTGAAGCTGCTTAATCCAGGCCTGGGTGGCTGACAAGCCGTTGAGTCCTTCGATCCTGATCTTCTGTCTGTCGTTATAGATGTCTGACTGACGAAAGAACGTAGGTTCGGCGCCGCTAGAGTCTCTCATGATCTCTAACATCTCGCGCGTAGGAAGGGCCCGGTGCTTGGTCAAATCTCGCGCTTGTTGCTGCTGGGCTAGGGTACGCCGGCGATGCATTATGTGTGCTGACGGGTCGAGAGACGGCGGGTGGTTGTGCTCGGGGCAGTCAACGCGATACGACCACTTCTAGCCGGAACGCTTCGTCGCTGATGCTATGACTTTGAACGGGCAGTCGAGCCGCTGAGTCGAGGATCTTCGGATTCCTGTGCTTGTGGACGTTTGAGAGCCGGCGCGATCGCAGGCAAGGACATAGTATGTGTATTTCTTCTCGCCATAGACCTCGCGAGGGTTTGCGCTCTTCAGAATCTTGATAGCCGCGCCGTTGTCGCGATGGAACGTCTGCAGGAAGGCCAAAAGCTCGTCAAAAGAGTCGTACAGCCCCGAGGGCGGCGGCGATGGAATGACGGGCTCTGGCGCCGATTCTGCAGTCTCTATGACTTCCTCAACGCCTGACAAGGCCATCAGCGGCGGCAGCGGCGGCAGCAGGGCGTCTTCTTGCAAGGAATTGGCGGTTTCTGCGGTCGCGATAGCATCAGACAACTGTGTCTGTCCTTCTTGATAGAAATCGTCGATTTGCCCAAGTCCGGCGCCTTCCGACAGTTCAGACGACGGCGGCGCGCCTAGGAAGGCATCCCAATCGGTGAAATCCATCGTAAAACGAGGAATGTGGCGATGATAAAGGGAAGTTGCGGCTGTGGGCGAAAAAAACGGAAGAAAACGACCTCGCGATCGCGAATTGACGAAGTCTTGGTGTTGTTGCTGTCTTCAATTGGCAGGTATGTCATGTCCCAGGACTTTGCACTGTGATTAGGTGTGTAATAGTGACAACAGTGGTGTGGGCGCATCAATTTTAGTACGGGCACGGACCTTTACTGTCCAAATAGAAAAAAACTACTGTTTAAATAGGAACACTCTTTGAGTTTTGGGGCATACGACCAACGCTCCGCCATACAAATGGGAAATTTGCCTTTCACTCACTCGTAAATAGCTCAACACCAACACATCGTACCACGAATGGAAATAGTGCTGGAAGATGGTCTTGACTACGCGCATCTAACGATAGTAATTTTATTGTTGCGGCTATATTGCATTATATATCTGTTGTCGTCGAGGTTAAAAGATTTACGACCAACGCACTTCCATCCGAACAATGACCCCCTCCCAAATTCCACAAACTGTCTTCAAACTTCGTCAAATTTTGCAGCAACGCTTTGCTGGTCTGTATCAACCTTCGCGCCCGTTTTTCCATCGCCAGATCAATCGCGTATTCTCTACGCGGCTTAGAGGGTGTGGAAAATGGATTTCGACGCCACTGATCAGCTCATCAACGATGCCATTTGCGCAATTACTGGCGCTGAACGAGCTCGCGACGGTCAGATAAAGGCTGTGAGGCGTTTGGCATACGACAAAGAAGATACGGTACTCATCGCCGCCACTGGATACGGCAAAAGCGCAGTCCTATACACCTTCGCCGCCAGCCAGCTCACGAACACGACTCTTGAAGTTGAAGTTGTCGTATACCACAATGGCATTAGGGTCGTGTGCCACCTTCTTGATGCCCTCTTTTGCACTGGCCGCCATCTGATTCAGCAAGGGGTTGAGAGTTCTGTATGAGGGGATGATGCCAACATGGTTGAGGACTTCAATGGCTCGACGTGCAGTGCCATTCGCCATGAGATACAGACCCAACACATCCCGGAGGAAGCTGGCTTTGTTGCGGGCGAAGCCGCCAAGCAAAATAGAGACAACAAGATAGATAGGGCTCTTGAAGTCATCGTTGGCTTGAACAGTGGTGATATCCTTCTCCCATTGAGTCTGCATGACCTGCGAGAGAAGTCTGACGGTAGTAGGCGCCTTCTGTTTGAGTGTCGGCCATGCTCTAGCGAGATTCTTGTCGAGCCATTCCGTCTTGCAAATATCCTCGACTGTTATGGGATCTGTTGCTTGTTGTTCTTCGGGCTTGAATTCACTGAAAGATGGATTAAGTTGCAATGGCTTCAATTCATGTCGAATTCTGCTCGCTATGCTGTCGTCGTCGCCCTGTGCTAGTTTGACGACGACGTTCTTGCTCTCTAGAGCAGCTTGTACATCGTGCTTGAGGAGAGCATCTGCTAGCTGCTTTGCTCGGCGAGGGTTCTCTACCCATCTGGCGATAAACGTGTCCAAATTGTACATACCCGCATTGCGGGACCTCCTTGACCTGCCTCTCATGGTATTCCAGTGTCCCACTGTCTCTCGAACAATATCCTCTGGTGCGATGCCGCCGTCGGCATCGTCTTCCAAATCCGCCTCGTATTCCTGTTCCTCTGCCATGGTCGCCAAGCGGCGAGAAGGACTAGGTGTACCCCGTGGGGTGCTGACTGAACGCGTAGATGAGAGAGCGGACGATGACGACGGGTGGTGCGGTAGTATGAGAGTACGCGGGAGTGTCGCTGGGAGGGCGGGCAGCGCAGGCAGCGCGGGCGGTCCCTCTTCAGCATCCTATTAGTATCAATCAAACGCGCGCAGTTCGAGCAGTTGAATCCAACTGACGGCGCGTTTACAGCTGCAAATCCATCGCACCGAATATCGGCGACGGCGACGTGGCGGTAAAGTTAGAAGTCAGCGAAGTTGGCAATGGAAAGGCAAGTGAACTGCGGGGGAGGGGCACAATATTCCCTTCTGTCTCATTGGCCAGAAAAGTGGGACACAGCCAACTGACTCCTGAGATAAGGACCATGTTGTACCCAGAAAACAAGCCCTGAGATCCTTTTGACACCCCCCCCCCTGGCGCGCTATGGTAGTATATCTTGAGATGGATAGAACATTTTGAGACGGACATTACCCATTCAGACAAATAGCACATTTTCAGATGGACGGAACATCTTGAGACGGACAGTATAGCTCGGGATGGATGTAATACACCACTGTCCGTCTCAAGTTGAGTTTTGCGATCCCGGGCTGTGCCCCACTATTCCAGCCAATCAGACAACACGTATTTTTGTAATTCTTACAGACCACTGCCTTGCAGCCATGAATGCAGCTTCAGCGCTCTTGCCTTCTGCTGCAACGCTCATCTGCATCTGGCATGCGAACAAGGCAGTCCTTGTCCGATGCCAACCAGCATTCCCGGAGGCTGAGAAGTGGAAAGAATTCTACGACTCTTGGCATTCGATCATTAGTTCGCCAACAGAAGAGGAGTATGCCAACCGACTTGCACAATTTCAACAGAAATACGCTGTTGAACACCCCAACGGGGTCGGGTATATCAAGACCACGTGGCTTATCCCATTCAAGGAGAAGCTTGTACGCGCTTGGGTCGACCAGTCGACTCATTTTGGGCAAGAGGCCGTCACGAGCTACCGTAGGAACCGTCACCGCATACCGTAGGCCTAAATTCTGCCCACACAAATCCCTAACCCTGGCCTCGCGCAACAATTCTGCCGCCCCGCCTTCGGCAATTCTGCCGCACTTCCAGCTTTCTGCGCGCGTGCACGCATCATCATCACCACCAACCCTCGCACACCAACAGCCATTGCAACTGCGCTGCGCGCGTACCTTCAGTAAGCGCCCCAGCTGTTTCGCGCGCTCTACAGGGCTAACCAGCGATAGATATGGCGCTTTCAGAGCTCGACTCCGACGCGCACAGCGATGCGCACAGCGATACGAGCGCGCGGGGCGACGCGCAAGCGCTGCCAGCGCCGCTCTCGAACCCCGGGACAAGCCACAAGCTTACCAACAGCCAGTACGATTGCTTAGACGACTTGCTTGACGACCTTCACGATCACGGAGCCAAGGCTGGCTTTGCCGTCTACAAGATGCGCAGCAACAACTATATCAAGGACTTTGGGCCCAGTCGAGTTGATCTCGGCTGCTACAAGGGCAAGATTCAGCCCTCCAGAGCCCACTCTCGCAACACTTCGACAGTCAAACAAGGCTGTACGTGGCAGGCCATCGCGAAGGCGCTGTTGGTTAATGGGGAGCGCAAATGGACCTTCCACATCAAGTCTGGCTGCGAGAGCCATGTCAATCACGAGGCAAAAGACTTTCAGTGCGCGAGGCGACTCAGAACTGAGCACAAGGCCTTCGTAGCGCAGTATATCGACAGACCGGCGGTTTCAAACCGCGAAGTGGCTGTTGAGCTGCGCAACAAGTTTCCAGGCATTGTCTTTACTCGGCGCCAACTACGCAGTCTGCGCTACCGGCTGCGCAAGGAGTCCCTCAACGGCTATACACCCTTCCAAGCAACCAAGAAGCTACTTGATGATGAGGGCATCATGCACCAAATCAAGTGGGCAGCGGCCCCCGATGACGGTGAGGCAGAGCGGAAGCCAGAGGGCTTGTTTTGGACATACAAATGGTGCGAGAAGCAGTGGGTTCTGTACCCATGGGTCCAGCTCTATGACAACACCTACAGGACCAACAATAAGGGGCTTGCCTTCTTCCAAGTTGTAGGGCTTAACCACCTTGGCATGGCCTTTGCATGTGGCTTCGGCCTCATCAACAACGAGAGGCAAGAAGGCTTCGACTGGCTGATGGACCAAGTTGATGTCAATCGCGCGCGAATCGGCGCCTCAACACCAAGCGTTACCATCACCGATTACGACGACGCCATGCGGAACGCGATTGCCAGAGTATATCCGGAAGCCCAGCCGCAAATTTGTATATTCCACATCAACAAGAACGTCGCTTTGCACTTCAAGAAAAAGTGGAACAAAGATGCCGCCGCTGCGGTAGCTCAGTCAGGACAGCAGTCAGCACAGCAGTCAACTGGCCAGTCAGAAGCCCCCTCTGACCTTGACACTCGACAAGACGATGGGGAAGAGGTTGAGCGAGTTGTGAATCGAGCCAACAGGGCTGCCGACGGCTCTCTCGAACCATTGCCAACAGAGGTGGAGTACTCAATGGCTGGCATGTATACCCTTTGGGAGCACATGATCTACTCTGCTAGCTTGGATTCCTTCAACGCTGCGTGGGAGATGATGAGAGCGTATTTTGCTAGCCAGACAGCTATTCTGACGTATCTCGAGACTACCTACTTGCCTGTTGTCGAACAGTGGGCTGGCTGCTATATCAACAAGAGACTCAACTTCGGCCAGCGCACCACATCGCCAGTCGAGTCAGTCAATGGTTACCTTAAGAGCTTTGTGATCAACGGCAACAGCACTGTAAAGCAAGTCGTCGGCCAAGCCTTCAACATGGTTACAGAGATGGAGCGGTCAGTCAAGGAAGCAGTCAAAGAGGAAAAGAACCGCCTACGCTTCGAGTACATAGGCCAGAAGTGGCTTGGCTCAGCGCCTTATAACGTCTCCTCCAAGGCGTTGAAGTTGGTGACGAAGCAATACCGAACTATGCTTGGCGCTGTCGAGTCTCGCAGTCGGCCAACTGCGGAAGCTCTCAAGCCTTGTACCGGCCGATTCACAGCGCAGTATGGTATGCCTTGCAGCCATAAGCTCTTTGAGCGCTACCAAGTTAAGAATCTGATGCTGAAGAAGGAGGACTTCCATCCATACTAGTGGCTGGAGAGAAGCCTCGTCGACGAGGATCAGTACTTACAGTATCACGAGTTTGACCGCGTCACACAGTTGCGCGGCAGACCACGCGGCTCTACAGCTTTTGCCCCTGATTCGACGGCACCACGGCTCACACAGCCCCCTCCACAGCCGTCGGCAACGCCCCAGTCAACAGCAGCTAGCACCAGGGGACACTCAACAAGAGCCAGGGGCACCAGACGTGCCACATCGCGCCAGTCAGGCCTTGCGCCGTCGATACAGCGTGTTCCATCGCAATGGGAGGGCGTGGAACTGGTTGAGGCAGAGCCTGGGGTCTCCAGGACGATCAATGGCCTAGAAACAGCAGCGCGCGCGTCCAGACGTGCCCGGGACGGTCAATCCAGAGGTTCACGAGCGCGGGGAGGGCGTGCGGCGCCTTCAACACCAAGAAGCACGGCTGGCGCAAGCCGTGGCGGCATCGCGAAGCGAGGCACGCAGGCACGGGGTCGCCAGACGGCCAGGGGAGGCACAAATGCAGCTGTGGGCGAGGCGGAAGGACCGTCTCAGGGTGAAATGGCTCGGGATGGCCCGCAGGAAGGTTCACAGCGTAATTGACGGTTTCACGCGCACTAGTTGGCTGTGCACAATTCCCAGCGATGGGCGTGTTATTGTAGGAATCGCGAGAACTAGCATAGGTAGCCAGAATTAACGGCTTGGCGGCATCGCTGTTTGCGCTGAATTGCGCTGCGATTTGATTGCACTGTGGCAATTGACGAGCGCTGCGCGCGCATCGCGAAGGCGGTGAGCGATTATTTTCACCGCCTACCTTACTAGGTAGGCGGTGGGCGTTGTGGGGTGGTGCTACGGTATGCGGTGACGGTTCCTACGGTAGCTCGTGACGGCCTCTTTGGCAATACAGCTCCCTCACGAGTAGAAGGGATCCACGCCCTCATTGAGTCATACTTGAGGAGATCGACATTCAACCTCTTCGAGGCTTAGAAGGCACTCCAACTTGCTCTCCAGAACCAGCTTGCCGAGTATCACGGTGCGGACCTTGGGTCATGGTGATGATCTCTGTTGCACCAAGAAGAGGTGAAGAAGCTAAGGAGCTAGGGGCTTGGCTATAACTAACTATTGGGAGCCTCTACGTAAGCCCACAAGGAGCAGAAGCCGGAGACGGTATGGTCAACGGCCTCCTCTGGAAGCTGGCCACGGCTGAGAACCTCGTCAATGCGGGCCTGGTTATTGAGAGCCTCGGCCTCGGCGGCTTCTTTATCCCGGGCAACGTCAAACTCATCAGGCGGTGGACCACCGGCACCCTGCCACTTCTTCTTTGCGTTGCTCGTGATGTTCTGGTTGATGTGGAAAATACATAGCTGCAGCTGGGTATCGGGCCAGGTTTCTTGGATCGACGATCGTAGGCCTTCTTCGAAGTCGGTGATAGCGACCTTGGGCTTCTCGGCGTGAATCTCTTGCCGGATTGAATCAATGGAAGTCAACAGGAAGTGTCACAGGCAGAGCTGTGACATGTAACTATAGGGTTAGGGTTCCCCGCGCACGGGGCATGTGGGCGATTGGCATGTGGGGCTCCGCAGACCCACATTGGCGCAGGGTATATCCCATACCCTGCGCAGCCACCCACTCTTGCACTCTTCGTGCAACCTTGTTGATGAGAACCGTAACAGGAAGTCGTAACCCTCACGCCGCTCAGTTGAAAGCCCGAAGACACAGTTGAACAAGGATCCGGTGTCCGTCGTACCAGTAACCTACATATCTTGTTAGGATACGTCGTCAACAATCTCAGACAATCCCCGGCAAAGCATACGTACCTGGAAGAGCGGCATCTTGAACTTATTCGTCTTATAGGAGTTGTCAAGGCCAATAACCTCGGGAAAACGAACCCACATGGTCTCACACCACGGATAAGTCCATACAAAGGCGACAGGACGGGTAGGATCGTTAGGCGCCCATTGGATGCGGTGCTTGTAGCCCATAGTGATCAACTTGTGGATAAACTGCTGCACAGGCGTGTACCCGTCGAGTTGCTTGAGACGAAGACGTTGGCGGGCGTTGTCAATATCCTTCTGCCTGATCACCGAGCCGGGCTCGACGTCGCGGGCGATGCTCGCTACCTCACGTGCTTTGATAGCCTTGTGCTTCGACGTAATGTCCACGAGTTGCTCCTGCTGGGCCGTAAGCTTCCGGTGAAGCGAGTGAGCCGATGGGTCGCTTGAAGGCGGGTGGTTATGAGAGGGATGCTTGAGATTGAAAGTCCAGCCCCAGTTGTCATCTTTGCGGGTAGAGACAACTTCATACTAAGGACAGTTGTTCTTCAGGGTGCCAGCCTTGCGGGTACCGTAGCTCTCAGAGGCGCGAATAGCAGCTTTGTCGCAGCAAACTCTGTAGCGCGTAGGCTTCTTAACTCCATCGAAATCTCTGTAGTTGCCGGCGTTACGTCGGATCACGGCGAAGCCGTTGGTCCGGGCGAAGGCTTGGAGGTGAGCCATCAGATCATCGACAGTCGCGGCAGGTCGGCCATCAATTCCTCCGTTAGGCGGGTTCGAAATCTCGGGAAATTGCTGTTGCTGCTGCTGCTGCTCAGCAGCGCCAGGCTCTTCGATCGGCGCCTCCATCGTGATTGGCAGCGGCGATGGCGGGTGGCGGTGGTCTTGGTCATGGTGAGGGCAAAGTGGGGCCGTGGATGGGAATGTACGATTAACGCAAAATCTCCGGCACAAAACACGTGTTGTCTGATTGGCCGGAAAGGTGGGACACAGCCCGGATAGCAAAACTCCAGACAAATAGCACATTTTCAGATGGACAGAACATCTTGAGACGGACAGTATAGCTCTGGATGGATGTAATACACCACTGTCCGTCTCAAGTTATGCTGTTGATGCAAGAATCCCCATTGTGTGATTAGAGTTACTTAGAGATTGATACCGGAAGGCATTTATGTACAATTAGATAAGACTTGATAACTAACTAACTAGTTAAGTGGTGGGACAGGCATCTGACCAGGGCTTGGCAGCCCCAGTCAGCTGACCTGTGATTGGGCAATGCGCCCGCAAGGCGGCTGCAATAATGCAAAGAAGTAGGGGGCTTGTACGAGTTCAAGGCAAACCGATTTGATCCGGATGTAGTTAGCGTGCTAAGGCCCTATAGGCCCAGTGCCTCCGGGCGAAATAAATTCCATCCATCCATCCATGCAATAATGCAGCCGCGACTCGGGCTGGGACACCCCCGCCCGGCATCTTCCACCACTTTACTGAATACACCGTTGATATTCTACCCTTTTGTATGCTTTCCGCATCAGAGATAGTCCGTGTCAGGCCGCCCCACTTTGGTCCTCTGCAAATCACTGTTGCACTCTTCGTGCAACCTTGTTGATAGCTCCCATAACAGTATGGCCAAGGGTTACCGATACTGAACTATTTCCCCGTTATGGCCGCCATGATATCGAATATAGGTTCTGTGAACACACACAGGAAGACGAAATAGTATAGTCTTACTGAATTGTGTGTGTGTGTCTAAGCTAACTAACTAACAGGAAGCGATGCCACTGCGTGGGTTAAGCCCACGCAGGGCAGGGCCGGGCGGTCTGGGAAGTGGGGCCGGAATGCCGGCGCCCGCAACAGGTTCCGTAATATATTCTACGGAATAGATCTCTATTCCAAAAATTCCATCCATCCATCCATAGATCTCTATCGTACCCCTCCTGACTTTTACCAGATACTTGTTGGGGGTGTAGCCGAGGGTTCTGAGGACCCATTCGCGCTTGCTGTCCAGCGCGGTCCCGGCGCTGTGAGGTTTGTGCCAGGTTCCGGCTGGCTCCCAGAAAATTGCAAGCTTCTCCGTATCTAGCTCGTTAGCAAACGAGAAAAAAGTAATGCTTTTGGGAGCCTAGCGTTATCGGGGTACCGTGACGACAAGAGTGAAGGGATGCTACGGCGACCAATACCAGTACCCCGTGCCACCAGCCCAACGTGCGGTTGGGCAATATGACACGTATTCGAACAAGCAGGCAGATCAACGGTTCATACCACCCGTCAAGGCTAAGGGTTGGCCCGAGGGCCTCTCTGAAGCCGTGTGAATATCACTACCTGGGTAGATAAGGTACCTAATCTGCTGTGGTATGGGAACACTACCTGGATTTACATGTGAAAATGACTTTGACACCTTGCATCCGCCATATGCGCTCTCGGGGAGGTTAGCTATTTGGTCAACACCGATACAAATGTCCTATCAATGGACCGAAGCAGGGATGCCATTGAGAGCCAATAAAGAAGCTGTCTTTGTTCCAACCACTTGCTGTCACGAATATGTCAACAGGTGGAGCCTCGGGGCGCGGACACCCCGAACCAGTCATCCCAAGGACCAATCAGGGAAGGCTGGGGTGTGCTCAGTGTGATCAGGGAAACGGGGAACAAAGGGAAACCAAGCACACTGAGCATAGAAGCCATACAGCCAATCAGAACACAGGAAGGACTAAAAGTGATCAGTGTGCTCAGTGACGCCGAACTCCGGAGGAGACTGAGCACACTGAGCACATAGGACTTAGATAGGTATATAGTCACTCGTTCTGGAGAGCTCTGGGAGTTCTCCAGTTAGCAATCACAACTACAGTTCGCTACAAGCTCGGAAGCCTACTGTTGAGACAAGCCTTTGTTGTGCACCTTTTGGCTGCACCGAACCTAAGCACCCTTGAGAGATTACCTTCAACCGAAGCTGAACCCTAATAGGACAGGGTCCTGAAGTAGGTTCGTCACACTTGCTCATTACCAAATCACAGCTAGGATATGTACGTTCATACGAAGGAGGGGGCCCGACGGATGGGGTCTGACGGAAGGGGGGTATGGCCAACAATATCTGTTAAAGAATTGAGAAAAATATTAATCCATGACACTCTTGGATTGCCGTGCCGTCAAACTTTAAACAATAACAGACCCGGGCGAATGGCCGAGACGTCGAAGCAGGATCGCCGGAGAATGGTGGGCTGTTTGAAAGCTTCGGGTGGGAAAAGCCACATTCCGACGGCCAGACAGGGTGCCTTCTCCATCATCTCAGATGTCTCAGCGTCTATCATTAAGCCGTGCTTGGGAATGATATATTCAGGGGTGCTTTGTGAGATGAACTCGCGCTGCCTGAGCCAATCGTCGGCCTCATATCGTAGGTACTCTGCCAGCTCTTCCCTTGACCCCTCCTCCACTAGGCTGGGGTGATGGCGCCTTTGCGACCAAGAAGGCCAGTTTACGGTAGGGCAGATGTAGAAGCGGAGCCCATCGCCGCTACCGTTGCTGTCGTCGGCCTCGCGCTGCTCTTTTGTGATGCCGAAGGCGTGTTCCAGTTGCTTCCAGGCTTCAGGGAGGGGACGAGGGTCATCTTCTAGTGGAAGCTGGCGGAGGTCCAGCTCGACGCCAGGCCGCGGGTCGGTGTCGAGCCAGTGGAAGGAGCCGGTGCCATGGCCTCGTCGACGGAGGGGGAACGTGTGGGCGAAGTGGTAGTGCCAGCCTTTTGCTGGGAACTCACCCATAGCTCTCGAACTCGACCGGAAGTAGGTGATGCAGAGGACGGAACGGAGACTGCGGCGGAGAATGTCGGCAAACGACATCGCCGCGGCTGGGTGAACCAGCGCTGGTGTCAAGGGTGTATCATGGTCGCCGTCTATAATGTGTCTGTGTAGCGCGAGGTGGACGACCCTGTCGTGGTCCAGAATTAGCCGAGCACATCCGACCATGATGTCAAATAGGACGAATACCCGTGGCGGTTTATACATACCCCTGGCCCTTGTAGTCGTACGCCTTCGCATCGTGGAGAAAGTCCACAAGCAGAGTGCCTATCGCAGGGCCGTGGTCGACATCAGTCCTTTCGGTTCTCCGAGGCCGGACGTGGACGACGTCATATTCCGGGTTTAGGTAGAGTACCTGGTCCTTGTACTTGCCGGGGAAGGGCAGGTGTATCTGGTAGAAGCTCAACGTGGCCTGTCTCGCCTCGGAATTGACCCAGAGGAGCGGGCTGAGAGATGAAGCATAGCACCCGCGGCCCCTGATGCTCAAGGTATAACCCCGTCCGCTCACTATTCTGCCTCGATGATTTCGGTGGGCATAATACCGAGAGGGAGAGATATTGTTGCCCGGATAGGTGCTCCCGTCTTCGTGGTCAGCGGCGCAGACGTCTACCTCGAGGAGTCGGTGGCGGCGGAGGCACCACAGCCAAACGTGCAGGCGCAGTTCGGCAGGGAGTCGGGGAAATGGTGCCCATGGGGTGACGATCGGGACATTACCAGCATTACCAGAATTACCTTCAATATCAGATATATCAACCGGGGCCAGAGAGTGCGGTGCCTGACGGCCGAAATGCACGTCGTTGAAGAGGGCAAAGTTGCAAGACGTAGGATTTTCCTCAATTGTAGCTTCCATCTGACCCATGGCCGAATTATTGAGAACTGAAGACTGAAACTGAAACTGAAAATGGCAATGGCAATGCTAAAAATAAAACAGAAGCCAAAGAAAGTTTAGACCTTGGTGTTTGGTAAAGGAAGAGGGGGTGTTCCAGGTTGGGCGGCCGTCTTTTATAGCTGTGCCACCTGTGCAATCTGTTCCCTCCTGTGCCCGCCTGTGCCGCAGGTGTTGATCTGGGCATGTTCGCAGTTCCGCCACTTAAATCCAGCGGTGACCTTTGACCCAGCAACCCGAACCCGGGACTTTGGGGGCCGTGTGTGTAGGCCGTATCTCATGCACCATCTCAGACTCTCAGTGGTGATGATCCAGATCTGAGATCCTCAGGTCCTCGTTGATTGCTATGTTACATTGAAGTACCTAACTGAGTAACTGGTGATGCGAATCAAGAAACGTCAGGGCCCCAGGGGTTGCAGCCTAGGTACACTCGACCAGGAGCTCATCATTCCACGCCCTCCGCCCTCCTGGTCAGTTTTCCAGTAATACACGCGCACACGAGACGAGATACAGACGGCTTGCTCGGGCCGGGTACCGTTTCCCAAGAAAGATGAAACCAGCCATGCGAATGACTGCGCGCGAATCAAACGCCGCGAGAGACTTGTGGGATTTTTAAGTTTAGCATGACGCGCTTGGAGACCCGAGCCGGCGGCTTGATATGGCACGGACGACCGATGGATTCTTTGACCCAAACTTGAGAGCCGATGGCTCGGTGGGATCGAGTCGAGGAGCACAGCTCGACCCCAAACCCATCATGATACGCAGCCCAGGGTTGAAGGTCTGAAGGTCGAGTCTCCTCAGACCGGAGGAAGCATTGAAACTCCCAGACGCAGGCCTCGGCCCTTTGAAAAAAGAGAAAAAAAGAAAAGAAATGGCATTCTTGTTCATCCCAAAGACTCGAAACATGGCATTCGCGCCGTTGACGCCTACAATGACCCGTCCTGAAGCTTCCGGCCATGGTTCTTGAAACCGGTGCAACTTTGAAACTGGTCTGCCTTCTCTCTTCAAGGTCGACGGGCACGTCTACGTGTTTGAGGCCCGGGAAAGCAACCTGGCCGTCGTCTTTGCCATCGATCATGAGGATATAAAGGCCGAACATTGTCGGGTTTCTGAATCTCGGACACACACAGCCTTTGACCTCGTCACTGAATCACTCACCAACGCCCTATCCACTGTTCGTCTTTTCTTGCCCTACTTGATATATCTTCCTCGCCTTTCTTCCCTCTGGCCACCATGATTAACGTGGGCTACAACCTATGCCTTCCGGCCAAGTATGGTCGAGACATCCAGACCGTGGGCCTCGATACCTGTATCGGGGTCGTCGCGTATGGCCTGCCTTCAACCCAAGGCGGTGTCAACAAGGTCATGGCCCATGCCTCAACTGGCGGGGTAGACGAGATCATCGGACAGCGGTTTATCGCCGAGGTACAGAAGTCCCGCATGACTATCCACGGCATCTGTATGAGCTGCCCGAGCCCCGATAGGAACAACAACGGCCCCGACAAGCTGTCGGACGACGACATACGGCGCACGCTCGCCGAGGAATACGGCCTCCACCCGAGCCAAGTGACCCCGGCCCGGATCCAGCAGTTCCGGGACGGCCTGGTACGGATGCTCCAGGGCGCGAACAACCGAGCCGCCGAGTACTGCGTCCAATACTTCGGCGTCAACCCCACGGTACGCATCCGGGAGAACCGCCACGTCCGCGACCCGCCCCCCTACGGCACCCTGGTTGCTTCCGCAAGCCCCGGGGGCGAGGTCCGCGCCGAGGGCCACAGGATGGCGAGTATTCCCAACGGGACCGCCACCGCCGCCCCCGCTGCCGCTGCCGCCTCGTCCTCGCGTGACAGCGCCCCCAAGCGGGCACCGGCGGCGCCTAGCTCCAGCTCCAAAAAACCCGCTTCTGCTAGCAACTCCAAGAAGCCTCCTCCGGTTAGCTCCAGCGCCAAGAAGCCTCCTCCCGCTAGCTCCAGCAGCTCCCGGCACAAGTCCTCGAGTTCGAGGGGCCACTAAGGATTGGGGTACATTCGCCGTCGGAGCTGGACTCTGGCTGTAGTGTATTGGGATTGCGAGTTTGGATCCATGGGTTATGGTTGGGGGCGGTGAAAGTATAGGCGGGTACTATACTATACTGTCATTAGAATTAGTATGAACTAGCATGGCTGGTCCCATGTTTTTATATTCTCTATTCATACCACGTGTCGATGCTTTGAAATACCTAGGAAGGTAAGGTACTTTACGCTGTAGGTAAAGTGTGAAGTCAAGATAAGGTGATGATTGAAACACGCTAAATGTACCGGCCCCACTTTCTCCGTGAATCCCGAACCCTCCGCATTTTTGGAATGAAACCGGGACTTGGCAGAGATACACCACCCAAGGATGTGCGCATCGCTGACAAGCTACCAGGCCCAAAAGCCATGCTAGGTAATCTTATCCGATTATTTCGGTAAAAAGACATTTGACGCTTTGAAACGGTGGTATATCACACCCAACACGCAACCCGCCCCCCCAACCCCCCTCCCAGGTCAAGCTGCCCAGCTACCCATGTTGAACCAAGTTGAGCACATCCACATCCACCACAAAACAACCTTCCACCTCCCACCTTCCAACTTCCAACCTCTCCTTAGAAACCCCCACCCTCAAAACAAGAAAAACCACAACCCCCGCCCCCACCCCGCCTATATTCATTATGTGCCTATCTTCTCGGGACCTCAGCTGAAAACTCAGCTCTGAGCATTGAATTGTTGAGAGGCCGCAGGCCAGGGGAGCGCGCTGATGATGACGATATTTCATACTGCGTAACCACGTAACCCCAGGCCGGTATCGCCAAGCCTTCCAGAAAGTGGCCACCGCAGCCCTAAGCCATTTTCGGGAGGCAACCCTCAGTGTACAGGGGCGACTCCGTGGAACAGAGCTTGCGCCCAG